GTATTTTAAAGACTGAAGGGGAAAATGTAAACAAATAAACAACTTAATTACAAAATTACACATTTTAGGCAAAATTTAGACACAAACTGAGGACAATATTTTCCTGATATACAGGGTTTATTTAATTGTGTGAAAATGTAGCATGTTTAAAAAAAAACGCGATAATACCGAAAACCGTGGTAATTTTGGTCACAATAACCGTGAGGTTAAATTTTCACACCGTGACAACCCTAACCCCCAAATTCCACTACCTCCGCTCCGCTCCGACACGAACGCCGGAGCAAAATCGGTCCCGTTGTAGTCAATCAGAGCAATTCCACTACTGCGGCCGTGCTCCGGCAGTGCGGCGCCGTGCGCCGCCCTCTGTTCCGGCGTCCGGCAAAAATAGAATCGATCCTATTTTCGCCGGACGCCGGAGCACCTCTGCAGTAAATGGACAGAAATCACAACGGCCCAACAGGAAAAGGAGCGAGCACAATTTCCGTTTTTCACAATAAATCGATAAACAAAAGGCGTTTTTTGTTTCATATGCACAGGTTTAACAACTTTTAACAACTATCAATGGCGGCTGAAGTTTAAATGCACAAAAATAAGCCATAAATACAGTTTCTACTATCAAAGTAGTCACACTTTGTTGATCCAAACACTGCTGATCTGTCAACACAAATGATGGGCAGATTAAACAGCTCATGCCGATGCTTCTCCCACACAACGGGTGTTTGGATCTAACTTCCGCGTTTACTGCTCGGACTGTATCGCAAGATCTCGAAAATCCCGCGCATGCTTGTTTGCCCCCCTCAGGTCTCCGCACCGGAGCGGAGCCGTTGTAGAGCGGGTACCAGTAAAAATTGAGTTCGGAAGCGAGTGGCTGCGGAAGGCGGGGGCGGACCGGAGGTAGTGGAATTTGGGGGTCATACAGACCATTTTAGATTAGGTTACATTTCCTTTATTCCCAGATTATGTAGTTTGTAGCACTCATTATAATGTTGTAGAAAATTTCTGGCCAATGAACGTGATCGGTATCGGTGATCAGCATTCTATGATATCGGTATCGGTGATTGGCAGCAAAAAACCTGATCGGTGCATCCCTAATATTTATGTATTTTAGGTCACTGCCGAGCTGAGCTTAGATTTTAACATGTACTGTTTAACCATGAAATTTAAATGTAATAGGGTAAAACCCAGTGCATTTCACATTATGCTGCATTTTAGAAAATGGGTTGAAATATAACATGTTTGTGGAGCTGGGTTCCAACTATCGGCTTGTGGAGCTCTCGGGAGACCGATGTTTTCCACCCGTTTCTCCCCTGGTTTCGCGGCTTCCGTTTGCTGCGCGGAATGCCGGCTGTTTCTCCCTGCAGCTCGGCGCATCTCTGTCTGATCGCAGCTTCTGTGTGCTGCGCGGGCTGCCGGCTTGTGGAGCTCTGGGATGGAAACTTTTCCACCCGGTTCTAGCCAGCGGCAGCTCTGCGCATCTCAGATTGCAGCTGCGCTTGTCTGCTGTGCGGCTGCCAGCTTGTGGAGGTCTCGGAGACCTCCGTGTTCCACCCGGTTTTACCCAGCGGTCAGCCCGGCGTATCTCTGACTCAGAAGCTCTGGTGTTGTGCACAGTTAACTCCAGTTGTAGCTAGGTTGCTAACTCCGTTATCTTAGCTCCCACCTCTGCGTTAGCTTTTGGGTTAGCCAGGGTTAGCTTGTAGCTAGTTCGACCGGGTGTTGTCAGTTGATCCCAGGCTTACAGCCCCACCCTCAGCTCCTCCGCTCTTCCCTTTTGTGGAATTGTCTGGGCTTGACAGAACCTGTGACAAGGTCAAAATGGCGGTGGTGGCCACCTCCCATTTGGCCTCAAAACGTGATATTGGAGCCTATGGAAAGGAGATGTCCAGTATATTTATGTCGATGGGCCTAGTCCTGCTGACACGAGCGCTCACACACACAGCTCCTGGATTTGCAGCGGCGTGCTGTGAAAGTAACACATTTCATCTGTGTGTATTTAAGATATGAAACACAACTTGCCATTTTAGCGCTGATCTGTAAAACTCAACAACCCCTTAAGAATAAATTTAAGGCACAGGGGCAGACGGAGAAATCCCTCCAGGTCTGATATCAATAATGTGGGGGCTGGGTCAGTCAGAGGCTACGCTGTCTGCTTTAGCAATTAGGGCTCCTTGCCTCCAGGCCAGTGGAGGTCATTAACAACACCGGCCATTATTGAGTGAAAACTAGACCCCACCCCCCAAACCTGACCTTGTCTGGAGCAGTGCCACATAACAGAAACACTACTAACGGAGCTCCTGAAAAAGAAACACACACAAACCTTTGAACCCAACAAGTTTCACCATCTCTGTACATTCCCTTGGCTCTGCCTTGATGGGCAGGTGTGCACACGTTTCCATTTAACTAACTCGTGCTACTAACACACAAACTCACACCAAAACATGAAAGCAACAAGAATCTGGAAACATTGGCGCAAAGAACAAAAGATAGTAGAAATCAAACCTTCCCCCAACTAAACCTAAAACTTCCTCCAGAAAAACCCCAGAGACCGTCTGAAAGCAGAAGTGGGACCGCAGATAACAAAGTACCGATTAAAACCTGACAAAGCGCTCAACCTTTTATAGGAGATAGAGAATGGAGGAGGAAAAAGGAGGGACGCGCCCTGCCTCACAGCAGTGCAGGCAGCGGAGCTCGTATCACATTGCTGCTGTTTCAATTCACACAGGCCGACTGTGTCACACAGGAATGTGCTGCCCACAACACCAGCGACTGCTTAATCTGTATGAAGTCAACAACACGTGACAGACTTACCCAACCTGTGAGTAAAGCACACGCTCATAAAACTCGCTTGCACAGGCCTGCAGATCTGCGGCAACTTTCAGGTTGGTCTAGTTTCTGCCCCTATGTGGTACAGTCCATTATAAGGTGAGAAACTATAGCTTGAGACAGACTTGCAGGCCCCTTCACCAGTTGGACAAACTCATCAACACCTTGTCAGTCTCTTTTTTGTGTGTCCTGACCCCACTCACCCTCCCACCCTCACGTATCAGTGTTAAAGTTGGAGAAGGCCAGGCAAATAAACCACGTACGTGTGATCACTTCCCCTGCGTGCCTTATATGAGCAAATCAACCCCCGTGTACAGCATCATTATCCAAACCAACAGGAGGGGGGTGTTTTTTATGATTCTCAGAATAATGACTCAAGCGTGTAAAACACGCTTTAAAAGATGACAAAGCACTCCAACTTTTCTCGACGGTTGGGTTGTTTGTTTTTGTTTCCAGCCGCTCTATATTGTGGCAAGTCGAAACATGCAAACGGTTAAAAACATATTTATCAAATCACTGTGTAAAATAAAATGTTTTGGAAAATAGTCTAAAGCTGCAGATGTAAATGGATGTAAATAATTTGACCTGTGGCAATTCAGAGCTAAGCATCAGCTGCTTTGGCAGATGGGGACGATTGAGACCGGAGCAGACCTGCAACTGGCGTCTCAAAAGACCCCGCTCACTGCATTTCCATCACAATGAACCCAGACTTCAACTCCGACTTCTGTCTGGGATGGCTCAATGTGCGGCTGCTGCCGCCACCCCATGCCAGCATTCACTTTCCACTGGATGCCACTAAGCAGCCTTTTCACTCTTTACAAATGTGCATCAGTAGTGGCGCTGCCAGTGTTTACCCTCAAACACACATTTCACGTTTAAAGTAGGCTGTTCCTTCAGTCTGAGACTCCCTTGTGCACATTTAAATGTGGAAACCAGCACTCTTCTAGCAGCAGTAATTGACCATACTGCTCATATTTAACCAGCGAAGCTACGATAAAGTAAACCGACTCATCGTTTAATAGTTTAATCATTTAATTCTTCCAAGTAAAATGAAACATCTTCCAATACTCAAAACGATTTTCATCCCATCTGCAGTAAACACTTCAGATATCCACCATGTTATTCTAAGCACACACTTATTTATATTAATTAAGCTCAAGCTCTCCAGAAAGTGGATATCTGAACTACTGCTACGTGCAATAGGGTTTTGCTACAGACTGAATGATATAAATGCGTAAAAAAAAAAGAACCAATCCAATTAAAATGCCTTTCAGGTACATTCGGTGAGTGCAGCAATGTAATTACAAATGTCTTAAAATACTACTTGGGTGTTTTTCCAATGATAATGAAAAATACAGATGAGAATGTGTGGTGCTGGAAGCCCAATGCACATGGATGTGACATCACTGATCTTAAGCGTGTCTGAAATGTTGATTGTGGAGAAGAAAACCCTCCTGCTTTCAATTTTTTTTACTAACATATTACAATCAAGACAATTTAGGTTAACGACTTTTGAAAATTTTATTAATTTGTTTATGGCAAGCAGAAATAGCATTTTCGGATCTTAATTCAAATTCTGACGAGCAATAATGACAAAGAGAAATACTATTATAAATGCAATTATTTAGAGTATTTAATGTTACAATGGCCTGCCGCAGTTATTATCAGTAATACAGTGATAAGCAGGCCAGCAGCAGGAGCTTGTTTTGTAAATATCTGAGCATTATAGAGATAACCTTCAGCATAAACAGTAAACTGTAGCTCATTTCAGCCCTCGCTACGTCCATGTCGCCTAATAAATCATTAGGAGTTAATGGAATAAGTGTGAAGCTTGGCGTTAATAGCAACATAACTTGAGACAGTTGGCTAGCAAATGTTAGCTGGCGCTCCGGCACGCACGGCTCCCTCCACCATGTTGTTGTTGTGGTTCAGCCACTGGCTGCGTGTTCATTAGCGACTCGTCCCGGTTTGTCACTCGACATAATTCATATTAAACGGGCAAAATAAACCTCGACGCGTAAATTTAGTCGGCGCAAACAGCTACCGAGGTTTTTGAGGTCAGGTTAAGCAAGCCAAATCCTCGATACCACGGGAGCGCCATGACGATTAGCGACAACAGGCGATGCCCAGTTCAGGGAAGCACAAAAGCCGGAGAGAGATGCTCGGATCAAACTTACCATCACCAACAGCCGCCAACCCGGACAGGGCCAGCAGCGTTAGGGCAATTTGTTTTAGAGCCATGCCTTCAGAATTCCCATCTCGATAAAATACGCTCGAAGTGTGTCGTTATCAACACGGTCAGACGTGAAACACAACCACAGTCCGACCGCACACACCACACCGCCAGATACCAGCAGCCAGCCCAGCCAGTGACGTGTTTAAGGGGGGGAGGGCCGCCTGCCCTGCTGCGCGGCCCGGCCCCCTCTGCTGCCCCCCTCAGACACCGGGGTCACGGGGGCTGTGTGGGGTAAACAAAACCCTGGATCACACACTGTCTGCTCTGCATCCAATGAAAGTGGTCTGTGTTTTTTTTTAAATAAACACAGATTATACTCAATATATATTTTTGTCAGTAAAACACTGGATTCTGCCTATTTAAATAATAAAACAATGAATATTTATATGTTTTTATTAAGTGCATTTTAACATTATTAAGGCCTAACTGAGAAAACAGACATATTTTGTCAACAGAAGCATGCTTTTGTTCAGACTCAAACAATTCACGGACTGTCACAGACGTGAAAAAAGGCTTCACACATCCACATAAGATTGATTTCTGCATCTCTACTTTCTGACATTTTCTCTTGGCAGCTTTCAGATTTAGATAAGTTAGCTTTTTAATTGATTTCAATAATGCAATAATTTGTCAACATTTTGTAGCCGTTTCACATCAAAGTAGTCCTCTTTTTAATGAAAGTTTGTCTCTTTCAGGTCATTTGATGAGTTTTAAATTATTTGACTTTTAGGTCACTTTGTGTGTTTTGTTTTTGAAGTATGTGCAATTTATAGGTTAAGGACCAGTCTCCATCTCAAGAAAAACAATAGGTAGTGGTTTTAATTGAGACTGCCCTTGGATGTTTAATTGTATCCTTATACCTAGATTTACTAACCAGTGTACATTTAGCTATAAAATAAAAATATAAAATCAGAACAGACTTTGCCTTATTATCTTCTGAAGGTGGAGCTCATTTCTAATAACAAGTAGGCAGCAGTTTGAGATTTCTTGCAAAGTTGGATCATCTTCGGGTTTTGCCCTTCTGTTGTGATCCAGTCTGTCTGAGCACTACAGATATTCATGTGATCATTGCAATTTTAGTCAGGTTGCAGGCAGGTGCACGTGGGACTTCATGCCTCCTTGTTTCATGTCACCCATCCTTTTTTCTGGTGCTCTGACTGATCTATCCTCAGACTCAGTTGCACAGTCTCCTCTATGGTTCATATCTCACCATTATCAACACCGTCCAGTTTTTTTTTATTATCTCCAGCTTACTTAAGTGTATGTCTTCAGCTACAGAAATCCCTTGGTCTCTGCAGGACCTCTGAGATTGATTCCTCTGTGAAAAAGAATACAGTACAACGAGACAGGGAGAATGAAGAGAGACTCCTGCACCCCAATGTGTGGAGTTCAGCCTCTCAGATACTTAAAAGCCCCCTCCTGCAGCGTTAAAAATAACTTCATCCGAGTGGCTAGACAGACTGGGACTGTGAGGGAGTATTATCTCACTGGGGTTTGTTTAACAATCAGACAGACAACAAACACAAGCACTCACCCACACACACATGCACAGCTAGAAGAAAAACCATGACAGACGCAGAACGAAAGCTCTGGCATTCAGATGGCATACTAACGATAAAGCTGATGTAATAATCTTTGCCACAAAAATGTTGCAGAAATGCATGCCATTTTTGATACTTGCAAAACATTTAGTATTTTCTGACATTTTAACATTCTGCAACTGCATATGTTTTGCTGCTGTGCTCCACTTCAGAAAGCAGTTGCAAAACATTGTATCTTTTGGATGTATCTATAAGTGAACAGATAAACGTAAAATATATATGATTCAATAATTTCATACTTTTATATTTAGCAATTTTGTATTTTATTGGGTTAAGATAATAATATGCATTGTGTAAAATATAAAATAAAAATGTAGGGTGAGCTGTAAAAAAATACATTTATAAATACTTTTAAGGAACCACCTTAAATAAATGAAAACTTTTGTTTCTAAAAACCTTCAGCAGATAAATGTAAAGATGCGTTATTATTTTGTGCCATGTAGTGCCCCCTACTGGCCATTTGTAAAACTACAAAAGGTTATTAGAACAAATAAAATAAAATAAAATAAAATAAAATAAAATACAGGACAGACATTTGAAAAATACAAACCTTTATTTAGGATATACATAATATGCCATTACATGATGTGCTGTTTTTTGGTGACTGATGGTACATTTAGGATCTCAGCATAAAAAATAATTTCAACATGCATGATGTGATACAAAAAGTCTGCTAAACGTGCCTCCTGGATGAATATTAGATAATATTACCCCTTCTGAAATGTATTTACAGTAACATTTATATTAATTGATAACAATACATACAAATTCAGTGCTGTTTGAATATGTACAACTAAATACTTAATTTTGTTTGTGCAACAGGTACTTACAGCTCATTTTACTTTGGTTAATGTGCTAACAGTATACATAATAGATTTTGCTGTGGGCATATGTTTCTTTATGCATTTCCTGTTGTGTAAAATGAAATTAACCACATCTTCTTTCTCTTTGTGGTATTAGTCATTGTGGAAAATCCACACAGCAAATTAAACCTGCACTTAAAGAAGAGTATGAATAACGGTGCAATGATAGATTTTCCATCCTGCCAGACGATGATGGGGGTGTTGGGCAACAATGAGTAAAGTCCTATATTTGGAGAAAAACTTCCTTTATGAGTGGAAGTCCAAATATAGTCATGGTATTTAACTGGTGTTGGGTGTTTTCTGTGTTTCGTCCTGGTGCTCTGGTCTAAATGTCCCGCTTAAGCTTATCTATACTGAAGTCACTTTCACCGTCCAGTTTGGAAAGAGTCTTTTTCACCCGCAAGGCTGTGAGGCGGGCTGTTGGGTTCTGGTACCAGCACTCCTTCATGATTTTGACAATGGTTGATAGGATCTGAACACAAAGAAAAAAGCAAGACAAAATGACCTGGTTATCACATTATTGGATGTTTTCTCGTGTGTTAAAGGTGCATTATGTAGAAATGAAGTAAAAATGACATCCTGTGGTAAAACCTGGTTACTGCAACCACTTTAAACAACTCTGGAGCTTTTTGCACGCCGTCGTCAAATTACAATTGTCAGCGCTGCAGTGTTAGCTTGCAGGAGACACGGCAACCCCACACTCACTGATGGTAAACAGTAGTTACGTCCCTCCTTCCTTTGTTTTAAATGGAGAAAAAGTGACAATCCAGCAGCCAGATGGATATAAAATGTTTCAGTGTAACCTTCCTTCCAGAAAGACTGAGATAATCCCAAAATAGTCTAATGTTTCACCGTAAAATTCTCACTATATTCTTACATACTGCACCTTTAACAAAGAATGTAGCTATTATACTTTATACTCTGACCCACAAAACAACAGTAGTGACATGTGACCCCATACAAACATCACTGGTAATTTTACAAACAACTCTATTCAGTTTAGGAGCTTGAGATTCTGCAGCTTTTAGTTTGTATTGAAAAGCTTTCTCTAAAACATTAAAAGTGAATTAAAAGTCTTAAAATACAAAAAAAAAAAAGAAAAAAAAAGAAAAATGAAGTTTGAACAATGAAAAATAGTAGTTTTGCACCAACAAATGGATTCCCAACAAACTATTAGCAGAAAAAGTGTGTGGTGGTGGACCTACTGGGTGGGAGTGGAGTCGGTTGTGCAGACTGGGTCTCTGCTGGTCCACACACACCACTTTCTTCATCTCCTCAAAGCTGGGATCTGAGGGCACCAGGTCAAAGAAAGGAGGGCGGTACTCTTCCACAATCCCTAATAAAACAAAAACAAAGAAACAATTAAAACAATCTGACAGATAATTTCTTTTCTATCATAAAAATGAATAAAATACTAAGGTAAGATAAGATAATACTTTACACAAGTGGTAAATTTGCATTATCATGGCAGAAAGTGGACCGTACAGGTAAAAAGTAAAAAAAAAAAAAAAAAAAGACTTAAAAACTGTCCTGACAAGCAGTACACCGTCTAAAAACAGTCTAAAACATATATATAAATATGTATGAGAATGCTGAGAAATTTCTGGGTCTGTATGTAAACTTTTAACTTGATAAATGTATGTACATACGTGTATGTTTATATGTCCCATGGTTGCACATCTTGTATCAGAACAACTACTACATTAAAGTCTGCAGCAGCAAATATTACAGCGAGATTTATCATCATATTCCATACCTCATTTATTTATTAATTGTGGTTTTAGAATCTCATAATTTATTTCCAAAGCATAAACATCTTCAAAAAAGGCAGAAAAAAATAACTTGAATTTGAAGATAAGCTGCAGGGGGAGTTTAATAAAGTACATTTGACTAAACAAGACATCAGCAAAGATACCAGTTCCCACTGCGGGGACACACAGAGCACATGTGGATCCATCTGCACACTCATAGACATATGTGTGTGTGTGTGTGCGTGCGCGTGTGTGTGTGTGTCCTCACATCCACAACTTGTGCAAGTGGGCATCTGGATTATGTAGGCGTGAGTGCTGACACCAGATAAGACTGTTTATAATTATTGCTGTGCTAATCATGAGGGAGGACAGTGGAGTCAGACTGGAAAAACACTGAGCTGATGAGAGACACCTTGTGTATTCTCCCACAGAAAACATCTTTTAAAGTGTGATACATGAGTTTGTAACACTTTAACTTCAACAAGATGCAATGATAAGTGCATGAACGGGCTCCTTCATGCTCCTAAACCAATTCTTCATTACCATTGACAGTCGTTCTGCGGGTTATTTCCCAGAAGACCAGACCAAGAGCCCAGATGTCAGTTTGCTTATAGGACTCAAAAACATCCACACGAATTGTCTCGTCTAGCACTTCGGGGGCCATGTAGCGTTTTGTCCCAACGCGAGGGTTGTTGCCCACATCCAGGTAGTCGTGAGACTGAGAGTGGATCACAGCCAAACCTGACACCAGAGAACAAATGACAAAATGAACTCTCGCTTTACTCTAATCTCCTGAAACAGCAGACAGAACTGTTCATACATGAGAACCAGAGAGCATCCTTAACCTAGATCAGCGATGCAGCACTGTCCGTTCCGCTTCACCAGGATGTTTCTGCTTTTTAGGTCTCGGTGGGCGATGGCTGGCTTTTCCTGGGCGCTGACGATCTCCGTGTGGAGGTGGACCAGGCCGCAGGCTATCGACAGGCACATCCTCAGGCAGCCCTCTGGCTCCAGGCAGCTGTACTGCAGGAAATCGTAGAGGGAACCCAGCTCGTGAAAGTGAGTGATGAGCCACAACTGGGTGCTGGAGTTCTTGGATGTCATGTCAGAGGCTATAAAACCTGTAACCAAAAGCAAAGGACAATGTCAAAAGGTTTGGTGAGGCCTTTCAAAGTGACACAGAGTCTTTATCTGTACAAAAAATTAACCCTGATTAGAAGATTCGGCTGCCATACCCAGGATGTTTTCATGCCGCAGCTGTACGGTATTGTAGATCTCGGTCTCTCTGAACCAAGACTGCTCATCCCTAGAGGAGAAGATCTTGACTGCGACACTCTCTCCCATCCACGTTCCCCTCCACACCTCCCCATACCTGCCTTTACCTGGAAACAGAGGAACGCAGTTATGCACCTGTAACGGAATATCACTAAATGCAGAGGAGATGCACTGACCAACACACTCTGCAAGACAGATTTGTCGAGCCATGGTCCTTTGGACTAGATATGGAAGTCCTGTTCCACTCCCTGATGTGCAAAATTCATCAAAAATGTCCTATGGAAAAAAGGAAAAGAAAGAAGAAACAATGGTCCAAAACTCTTTTATTCATAATTCTGTCTCATGCTGAACATCAGATATCTCTTACGCCATATGTGGGGTCCTCTCCACTGGGGACTTTAATCATGGCGCTGTGGCCTTCGGGGTCCTTCGGTTTGCAGGGTGCACGTCGAAAACGCAGGACCAGCACAAAGCCACACACACTCAGAGTCGTGAGTAAGAGCAGCACACTGATCCACAGCATCGGATGAGGGGATTCTGGAGGTGGTGTTGTTGTTGTTGGTTCTTCATCTAAATAAACACAAAATCAGCCACACTCATCAACAACTTTATAAATCTGGGTGTGGATATTTATGGCTTTGAATTCTTTCAAAAGCCATTCTATTAGAAGCCTTGTGGAAAAAGCTTGACTTTTCTCCAAGTGACCACAAGGGGAAGCTAGTCAATAGAAATTGCAACCTGTGCACTATGCTGGTTCCTCAAGTGTCATGCATGTGATGTTCAGTTTCTGAAAAGCAGTAATTTTGATGGGTGTTGACTTATACTTGGAGGTGGCGTAAACAAGGCGTTGCACTCGTTCTCTGTGCAGCAGCGGACGATTAAGAGAGAACTTATGGAGGCTTTGCACTGCTCGTTGTAGTACTCCTTGGAGAAACATCCCCTCTCTTCTCTGCCCTGCGTCCAGGAATAGAAGCAGTAGTCCCCTCTGCAGGTTCCATTGACACACGTGCCTTTGTTGTTCTCACAGGTGCACAGCAGCTTCTCTTCCTTGTCGTGGTCACGGTTATCTGAGGACCAGCAGCAAACAAAACAGCAGTTTTTGCAGGAATGGCAAAAATGTAAGAACAAAACCAGATTAACAGAAAAAATAGTTCAGCATCAAATGAAAAATCACTAGATAGATTTTAATGAAAAGTTTAGATATTAAACACTATGAGCTCTCAAGTCTCCATCTCATCATGTAGACATTTCTCAAACAGAGAAATTATGAAGCTCAACGAACAAAAAGAATGGGTTATAAACAAGCCAGGATACTTCCAAATGGTCTTAAACACCGGCATGGTCTCTTTTTGACCAGGCAGGCACTTGTGATTGGGTAAATGTTCAGAATCAGAACCTATTAGAGGCAAAAAAGCTGTTAGTTTATCATCAGTCTAAAAAACGGCCTCCGTTTGTGTTTTGAAATCTGCCAGTAGCTCAGCAGGTAGAGCGGGATGTCCAGGAACTGGAAGGTTGTAGGCTCAATCCTGGCTCCTGCTAGAGGATGCTGCTGTTGTGTCCTTGGGTGGTGCCAGTGTTCGACAGCCTCACCACTGTCAGTACGCACCATTGCAGCTGTAGCTACCACGTAGCTCATCATCACCAGGGTGGGAATGGGTGAATACAGGGGTGCAGATAGGATTTTCAAACTGGGGGGGACAAAGTTCCAATGTACCCTCCCCCAAACACACACACACACACACACACACACACACACACACACACACACACACACACACACACACACACACACACACACACACACACACACACACACACACACACACACACACACACACACACACACACACTATTGCAAGAGCCTTAACTAGAGCTCAGTCAGATAATTTCATCCAACGGTTTACGTAAAAACTAACATTTTTATATGCGTGTTTGAAACCATTATGCAGTGGGACGCTGGCAACAAAGCTCTGCCTGATCAACACTATCCAAGTCAGTCATTTGTTATTCTCCCAATCAATTACTAACCAAAACCTCATGCTTTATGCAAAACATTAAATGATTTTCAGCATACCAATCTTTAGAGAAAACATAAAAGCCCTAAAAACTGCACATAAAATATAATAAAAATACAATATTTACTTATCACTTAGAACAGTTGTTCCCAAACTTTTCAGCCTGACCAACAGATGTTCCTTCGTATTGTTACGTTATTTAGAAATTTTCATTATATTTGGAAAGTTTGAATTCATATATAAATATATAAAGCTCTTTTGAAATTTTACATTTTGTCATGACTCCCAATCTTTCACCCTCCTCTGCCTTCTCATCAAGCCTTCAGTCTTTAAGCAGCACACCTGGTCCCCTCATCTAGCTCCAGCCAAGCCCTGTTTCCCTGGCAACCACAATCAACTTCATTCATCCCACCTGTTCCTGTCATCAACTCATCCTCCACACCTGTTTCCTCTACTATTTAAACCCCAGCCTGCTCTTCAACCATCACCAGATTTTTGAATGCTCCTTGCTAGTAAATCTTCCAGCCTGTTACCCTGCCTGATCTCAGCCTCCGGACCTCATTTTCACTCCTGACCCCTGCCTTGAACTCTGCCTGCCACCACGACCCTCGCCTGTCTGCTACCTCGTCTCCAGCCTGTTCCCTGTACCTGCTTGTCCGATCTGGTTTTTGACTTTCGCCTCCTCTCCGACTCTGTCTCCAGCCTCGCCCTCCTCTGGTAACTCCACATCTAATAAAGACTTTATCTAACTTTTTATTGTATTTGGCGTCATTACGGGTCTTCCGGGTTTTGCTCGTGACACATTTAACTTTTTTTTTATGATAATGTGGCACACTTTGAGTTCCATATATAACTCATCGGCATATGCCCCTTTTTTTACGGCTTTTTATTTTATTTTTTTTTACATTGTCGCTACGTCTATCACGTTAGTGTTTTTACCATCCTTTCTACATCCATCATCTCCCAAAGACAGTTAATCAAACATCAAACCCAATGTTTGGAGCTTGTAAACTCCACACACCTCTCGTGCAGCACCAGCTGTCCGATGCTGCAGCAGCGTCAATCTTCCCGGCTGGATGAGTGAATTTCTTCAGAGTCAAAAGTTTGCATGGGATTTTGTAAATGACTCCACATTTAAGTCCAGCTGATATTTTGTCTTTTGGGTGTACTAGTCTGTTTCTAACTGTTGTGCATGGTTTTGTTGGTGTGTTTATGTTGTGTTTTTTCATTGTTGCTCTTATTTTTTTCTGTTATGCCTCTGATGTATGGTAGGGTTATCACTGGTTTTGGTTCTTGTCAATAAAACATAGGAGAAATCGGACGCCAACTCAATACACGAACATAGGAGTGTGAGAAAGAGGTAAGTTGAAAACACACGAGCAGCAACAGAAGCAGAAAGTACAATAAAGAACTCAACCGTAACAGTTCACTGCATAAGAGAACCATATAATGGACTGGGACAACACAAGGATCATAAACACCGAACAACAAAAATACAGAAGATGGATTAAAGAAGCAATCAAGATAAGGAGACGTGGATGTGTGACCATGAACAGAGACGATGGAGTTTACACGTTGGACTGCATCGTCGGAGAGGGGAGAGCGGGCAGCAGAGGGCGACAACGTCCTCTGCTGCCCGCAGATAAACAGAGAAGGAAGTGACGCGCCACCATCAGCGTCAGCCTGAGGAAGTCTGCAGCCGCAAACTAAACGTAGCGAAAAAACAGGTAAAGAAACAGTTTCTGTGTTTTAAAAAAGAACAACAGCATGGAAATTTGAGGCTGATGGGAATCTGCAGCCAAGAGATTTAATCTCTATCCAACCTTTCCTGGGCCAAAACAGCTTTAACCCCACCATCTTTAAAACTAATGACCTTAGTTTATGAAATGAATGCTAGGTCTTTGGTATTTGCTATAAAATAGTCCATTTTTCTCAAATGAAAGGCTAGAGTTGACCTCCTGGAAAGGAAGCACAGATTGTAATGGTAAGTAAACATGCTAACCCCATTTCCTGTCTGCCACAAAACATCAACAAACAGGCTGTGTGGTTCACCAGGAGCAGTGAGTTTGGTTTGAAATTACGAACTGCAAAGTTTAAATGAGCCGTTTGCATGAGTGGAAAAAGACAGAGGACAAATCCAAACCTGTGGATTATAAAATAACAGAAGACTTTCCCCTTTTCCTTGGATTACAATTATAAAAGTGTGATATCCGAATGCGATTCAGAAGTGAAAATCATGACAAATGGATAATGTCACAGAAAGGCTGAATGAAGTGCAATGTGAGCTAAAATTACACTCTGATAAGGTTAAAATGGAATGTTGTCCTAAAAGGTAAATATTCAAGGAAAAAAAATCCACTAACTCACCTGCATTAAAAGCAGAACTCCAGAGAAAAACTCCTGCTAGCACAGCTGTAAGCAGAGCAGAGCGTCCCATTTCTGAAACGAGTGCAAATCATGAAAGAAGTGTTAACTGACTTCTTTTGGGAACAGTAAGTCTGTACAAGTACATTATTTAAAGTAACTTTATCTGCAGCTTGGATTCAGTTTACAGATGGCAACTGAAAAAGTGGTAGAGACCCACCCTTTGAGGAAACCGTGAGATCAAAAACAACAGTTAGAGGGTCCAGCCTGTCTGCCTGGGCTTTAATTGCGTTGGGTGGGAAAAAAGGGTCTTGGGGGAAGCCGGGACTCAAGTATGTCTGTGTGTGTGTGTGTGCTTGAGTGTTTTTGGACTGTGTGTGGCGCTGTGTGACCCAGACTCCAGGCCCAACGACTCCATGAATACCCTGCTTACAGAGTAAATATTGATGGCTGCACTTCCTGCCATTGAGTGGCCCCACCCGGCTGGCCAACCAGACCCAGATCTGCTGCTTTATTGTTCAAAGCTGCAGCGCTGAGAGTCACGCACATCAAACACACTCCTTCCTGTAACCTTTAGTAAACGAATGTGATATTTACTTACAGAAAAGTGTGTTTCGTTATTCCTCAACGCATTTGCTAGGTTTGATTGCATCATTGTCATAGCAAAGCAATCTGAAACTTATCCCAGTGCCACTGCTAACTCACACCAACAACATCAGATCTTCCTATATGAGTTATGTATTTCATGTTATTTGAAAACCAATCGGCTTTTTTTTTATAATGACAAAAATAAAACTAACACAACTTGGAAAAGAGAGCGACCTTCAAAGAGCTTTGTTCTTTTTATCAGTAAGTTATCTGGAGTCTTGTAGATTTTTTTTTAGTTAAACTGGAATAGACAAAAATTGGCTGACCAGAGTAATACAAAAATCTGGGTTCTGTATCGACCCGCAAAACCCGACTAGGTGCATATTTACTATTTACAGCTGAACATACAAAATAAACATTTAAAGATGTAGAAGCAAGATAAAAATGTGAATCACCACCTGGAACAAAAATCATCTGAGGTGTAATTTAGCTTTTAATCAGGAAAATGTCAATTTGTTTAGAAGGAGGGGGCGGGACTTAACCGTATACTGCAGCCAGCCTCTAGGGGGCAACAGTTTTGTTTCAGCTTCAACTTGTCTGTATTTTTTTCATGTAGTAACAATGTAGTACAAAGAAACTTAAGAGTATTGCACAGAAATATGGATTAGTTTGGATCTGGTTTAAAAGACATTTTATATGATAATCTATTAATGAACACAATGCACTATAATAGATCCTGTGATGGTTTAAAACCCTACAAAGTGCTTTTTGACCAAAATCGCTTTTAAATTAATTAGTAAAAACAGCTTTCCCCCCCTTTATCTTAAAAACTTTCCTTTTTTAAATATATTTGTTTAACTTTTTCTTTGTTTTAAACATTAGTCACCATCTAAAAATCAAAAGCTCTGCAATTTTTATAGACATTTGCAAAAACAACATCATAGAACAACTGAATGAGCTACTTGGTCACAGCAGCAGAACTCTACAGATCTGTTAGTGAAACTCGAAGAGCCAGCGCATGCATTTAGATTTCCTCCTTCAGTTTTGATGCCTCTAGTTAGATTTCTTTGAAAGCCAAGGAAGTTTGTCAGTTCATTCAGTGAAAAGAAAGTAATACAAACATGTGATCATTGAAATAGTAGGTTTAAAAAAAAAACTCACCCCCAAAAACCCACAACAACCTTGTTTTACCAACAAGATTGTTCATGAATGTCGACGGCACATCCATGGTGGTAAATCCAGATTAGCGTAAACATAATTTATTCATCATAGAGCGCTGATTTACAAGGCTATCATCATCATCATCATCATCATCATCATCCAGAGAGTCCTGACATATAAGAGAAATGAACCCACCATGCTGGACCAAGTCTTCCTCCTTAAACTCATCTGTTTGTTTTCCATTCAGTCCAAAGCTACACACGCACAACCCACAGAGAAAGATTTGCTCTCATCTCTTCGTCTCATCTGCTCAGCTTTGCCTCAGTGAAGCAGATCTCTCATTCCATCTGGATGACTGCGTGGTTACAGTGGTGGATTGTGGGAAATAGCACAGCATGGCCGTTGCTGGGCCTTATCACACCAGAAAAAAACACTTCCTCTGAATATGAATTTCTGTTTGCAGCTACGCTAAAAGTCTCTATTTTAATATATAAGCACCAGAACTGAAATGCAATAATTTTTAATAAAATCCTAAAACTTTTAATTGCTACTGTGACGGTTTTCTTTATTGAAAAGCTGTTCAGTCAGTGTATCAATACTCTCACTTCCATCTTGTACGTGTCAAAAGCTTCAAAGGAAATGAGGAAATACCTAAGACTGCGTGAGACACGCTGTGCTAACAAACTGTGTGCTGCTGCCAAAGATGGACGAAAACAATAAAAGGAAATACGTAAAAGATGACCACCGTGGAGTTTGGGTATTAGTGTGAATAATGTGCACCTGAGGCCAGTTGCAAAGATGATATGAAAGGTCAAAAGCTTAAATGTGTGTGTTTAAAATGAGTGGGTAAAGTAGCAAACGCATGTTTAGATTAGTGGTTGTAAAACAAACCTATAATGTCCATTTTGCACACAAAGTAGAACATAAATTCACTTTACACCAATGTAATTGTTAGATAATGATCTGCACCATTAGTATAACAAACAGCGTTGCTTTAAGGAATGCTAAGTGATTTTGAAACACTGTTTCATGCAACCAAATCTAATTTCACCTCCGTGTGTGTAAAGCTGCTCAGTTTGTGGCCTTTGGAAACCATCCTGAATTGGGTTTACAGTCAAGTTTCCTCCATACAGCAACAAATGAGGAATGTCATTATTAATATTCATACATCGTCATAAAGATAACAATTATTACACATGTATATGGGCAAGTTGGAAACATTTAAACATTAATTCAGGTTGTTTCATATATTTAAGAGTACTTTAAACTTGTTTGTTGATTATTCAACTCACAAAACTTCAATTTATTGCTGGAAAATTTGTCTAATATTGATAATTTTAAAAGAGAATGACTTGTTACTGAGGAACATCCCAACATTTCATTATAATTAACTGGTGCAGTCACACGGGAAGGGCAAAACATCACTGAATTATTATTATAAAGTAACTAAACAAAGATTAAGGAGGCTTTACATCTGCTGTTCACATCTGGAAACATCTGGAGCGCTGTCAAAAGTAATTCACTGCTACTTTATTACAGGTCAATATGGATATAGAGATGCACCGCCTTTACCTGTTGCCTTTAACTGGTCTGACGCAAACGCTGCACGTCTCCCATGTCAGATAACCTGAAGTTTTCCTCAACAGGCAAAAGAAAAAGTTCAAAGTAAAGCTGGTTTCATTGAGGAAGAGCTGACAGAAGGTTTGTGCTGAACCGCAGATGTTTTATCCGGTGAGATCTCACATCCTCTGACGCCTCATTGCGCCTTTTGGAGAGAAAAAAAAGTCCGCAGCTCTTCTTTTGGTTTGAAAACCCGCAGATCGCTCAACAGGTGACTTCTTTCATAAATGTGTTTGGATCTATATGAGAATGACGCCCTGGCGGCTGGCTGAGTCCAGAGCTGAAACTGAACTCATCTGGCTCCAAATCTGCGCTGATAAACCAAAAACACGCACGTCTCGTCGCCGGATTCGAACCAGCCACCTTCCGCTTCACCAGCAGCGTCAGCGACCAAGGCGGTTCTCGTCTGTGTTTCTGATTAAAAGGCGAGATTAGAGATTTTTTAAATAGTAAAGGCTGCTCGTCCCACCCCTCATTGTTCCGCTCTGGCTCGGCTCAGGCTGGAATGTGTTCTCAGCGGTTTTCCTGTTGCAGCTTACCGAACCTCTCATTTTCCTTTTCCCATGTGGACCCATGTGCGCACTGCACTCCCAGGAATGTGCGTCAACAAGAACATTTCTCCACAGAACTACTAAGGATCAGGCCACAAACGCTTTTAAATCGAGTTTAAAACACGTCTTTGATCGTGGTGACAGGGCCTGGTAAAGTTTCATTGTTGAACTGAGTTTTTAAGTTATTTTAAGAGTTGGCATGCTGTAATCGAATAAACTATGAATTTACAAACACCACGCCCACCACCTCAATCATGACCTATGTAACACATTATTTTAAAAAGTTTGAGATCACTAACAGATCTACTAAAAAGTTCCTGCAGTATTATGTGTCTGACAACCTGGAGTTGGCTAAAAGATCTCAAAAAGCAACATTTTGCAGCTGAGTGTGAAGCAGCTGGGATGAGAATCAGCTCCTTTAAATCTGAGACCATGGTCTTGAGTCGGGAAAGGATAGCATGTCTTCTCCGGGTCAGGGATGAGGTCCTGCCTCAATTGAAGGAGTCTGGGGTCTTGGTGAGTGAGGGAGAGATGGAGTGCAAAATCGATAAACGGATTGGTGCTGCTTCTGCAGTGATGCAAGCATTAAGAAATAAGATAAGATGAGATGAGATGAGACTTTATTAATCCCACAGTGGGGACATTTTTTGCGTTACCACAGCTCAGACAGATAGCAAAGGAATAAAAAAGTGAACAAGAATGCAAAAATAAAGAGTACAAGACACCATATACAACAGTGGTTCCTATGTAGCCACACACAGTAAACTTTATGGATAGGGGGTTGTGAAAAATTATCGAAGTAATAATACCACTCACGTCGGCAGCAGCACGGGGTAGCAGTAGCTCAGGTGGTAGAGCGGGTTGCCTCATGATTAGAGGGTCATGGGTTCGATTCCAGCTCCCGCCAGGGGTATCCTGCTGTTGAGTCCTTGGGCAAGACACTTCACCCAACTTGCCTGCGTTAGAGGTGGTCAGAGGGGCTGACGGCGCCAAATGGCACCCTCGCCTCTGTTAGACCTCCCCAGGGCGGCTGTGGCTACAAGTAGCTTACCATCACTAGCAGTGTGTGAATGTGAGAGTGTGTGAAAGCGTCTTTGGGTGTCTAGAAAAGCGCTATAGTTCAATGTTTTATTATTATTATACATAAAAAATATTAGCTGTTCTGCTACAACAACTTTTAACTGTCCTGACTTGTGCAGAGGGTGATGTGGGTTGTTAATGATGGATGTGAGCTTAGCCAACATCCTCCTCTCACCCACAACCATCACCGACTCCAGAGGGCATCCCATTGCAGAACTAGACTTCTGCACCAGTTTGTCAATCCTGCTCCTGTCCCTTTCTGTACACCCACTCCCCCAACAGGCCACTGCATTGAAAAGGGCAGATGCTACCACCAAATCATAAAAAGTCCTCAACAGCGTCCTGCATACACTGAAGGACCTCAGTCTCCTCAGTGGTTTTTTGTGGTGAAGAGAGAACTAAGCAGATAGGCGAAGCGCTTGATTTACCAGTCGATCTACGTTCCTACCCTCAGCTATGGTCACAAGCTTTGGGTAGTGACCAAGAGAAAGAGATAGCAGATACAAGAGGCCAAAATGAGTTTTCTCTATAGGGTGGCTGTGCTCTCCCTTAGAGATAGGGTGAGAAACTCAGTCATCTTGGAGGGGCTCGGAGTCGAACCACTGCTCCTCCACCTTTAGAGGACCCATTTGAGGTGGCTCCTGCATCTAGTTAGGATGCCTCCTGGATGCCTCCCTGATGAAGTTTTCCAGGCAAGTCCAACTGGGAGGAGACCTAAGAAAGACCCAGGACACACTGGAGGGATATGTCCCTCATTTGGCCAGGGAATGCCTTGGGATTCCCCCAGAGGAGCTGGCCCAAGTGGCTGGAAAGTTGGAAGTCTGGGCCTCTCTGCTTAGGCTACTGCCCCCACGACTCAAGCCTGGATAAGAGGATGGTAATAGATGGTTGGGTAAGGGTTAGGATTGTACCTAAAATGCATGTAGCTAATAGTACGGTCATTTGGAGACATTCTCGCGAAGATCCGTCTGGTGAGATCTGCTCTTATTTGTGTTGGCCCTGTTTTTTCTGTTGCTTTCTTACTTTGCAAAAGACAAAATGGGAAAAGATCTTCATCATTACTGAATAACACTAACTAAAAGGGATAATACGGTTTTCATATGTGGTGTTTTTGCTCCTTTTTACAATAATTTTAAACATTTTACTTTTTTATTGATGAAATTGGTTGTTATTGACCTCATTGGGCTCAAGTCTTGAACTACAGACAGCATGGCTTAATAAGCATTTGGACAGAAACCTCAGAGTTCTGAATGGGAGAATCTTTTGTTTTAGAAAAACACAGAACAAGGTTAAGATATTATTTTTTGAGTTGTGAGTATCTCCATCAATTGTCAGCTGGGTTTCAACACAAAGCATCTGTTTGGCACTGCTTATTATCTGTTGCTGGACTGATTGTTGACTAACTCAGACAGCAGTAGGAGGAGGTAGAGCAGGTTGTCCAGTAGTCAGAAGGTTGCAGGTTCAATCCTGGCTCCCACCAGAGAATGCTGCTCTTGTGTCCTTGGGCAAGACACTTAACCCGCCTTGCCTGCTGGTGGTGGTCGGAGAGGCCTGTGGCGCCAGTGCTCGACAGACCTCCCCAGGGCAGCTGTGGCTACATCGTAGCTCATCCCCACCAGCGTGTGAATGGGTGAATCACTGATTGTGTTGTAAAGAACCTTGGGGGGTTGTTGAACCCTGAGAAGGTGCTACACAAATACAGGCCATGAATCCACCATCTTGACTTTTCAAAGAGCTCCTCTGTGCTCAGCGCTCTGTGATCATAGCAGCTGATGTCCATCTTAAAAACTAAGTTCTCAGTTAGATGGCAAATAGACAACTCTCATGAAACCTTGGAGAGATGTTTTCATGTCAGTCAGAAAAATCCCCCTCCTTGTTCTCAGGCTCTGTAATCTCTCCAGTTTGGCTCTCAGCTGCAGACGCAGCTGGAAGATCTCACATCAGTAGTCACACACAGAGAAAAGCTCCTCTTTCTTATTTTTAGTTAGTTACTGTGATTGAAGAGCTGCACCATCTGTTGCAGTAACATACTAGAGTTTGTTAAAGAAAACTGGTCATGACAACTTTTGCACGAGTGCCAAATATTTTACTTGTCGTGTTTTCAGTCAGCCTTTAATTAGGCTTCATCCTCAAAGCTTAAACTCTGCACAGTTGTGTTTATTTTTAGGTGTTTGAAAATGTTTATTGCCTGAATCTTGGGAGAGGTGCTTAAAGTCTTTGTGTTCCTTTATTGAGCGTTTTATTGTAGGGCTGACCTCGGGTCACAGAGTTCCCCTCTGGTGAGAGGAAGTGAGCCACAATTCTGCAAAAGAAAATATGACATGAAAACCCATTTAGCTTCTTTTGGTTTAGCTGCTTCTGCAAGTTCTTTAAACACAGAAGGCTTTATCACGAGCTGTGTTGGTTCGACAGTGAGAATGAAAAGTTGCACATATTTTTTTTTTTACCATTAATTAAGGTAATTGTTATGCAACGATAGTCATCTGTGGATTAAAAGATTACTGGAACCAGTGTGCAAAAGCCACTCCACTCTACTGCAGAGGGAGCGCATTGTAATCTTTTGTAAGAAGCTCAAAGTAACTTTATTTTGAAAGAGTATCTAAGGTTGCAGACTGGACGCTAAGCTCAAAAGTCACATGCAAGATGAGAAAACCTGAATGCATGCCGTATTAGTGTTAAGATGTTTCATGCTGTCTGTTAAATTTTGTATTAACATCACAATAAACATCTGACAAAAGAACAAATTTGACTCTTGCATCAAGTCAGTTTATTCCAAACTTACATGCAAACACTTTTTTTTGTGTTTTACGTCATGAAGGTGCAAAGCCAGAGCTCTCCAAGTCCTTTGCTTAGTCTGAAACAATCCCAGAAATATTTCATTTTTCAAGTAAGCATGATCTAAATAAAACATGTGTCAGATAAGAGTATAAATAGAATGTATATAATATAAATGTTTGTTGTGATAGCATTTCAGTGCAAGTATGGGTGTTATTTTAGTAAATAGGTCAATTCATACAAAGAGTTTCAAGCATTTTTCAGTGGAAGTTAGATTATGAGATTCACCACAATAATCTTATGAATGTGTACAAATCTGATAATAAAAATCTACGGATCTTTTTTTCCCTGAGAAATATTCAGTGCAGGTGGTTTCTCTTATATCGATCTGTAAACAATCATGAGGTCCGACATTTCTGGTTTTCACATAAAACTACATAAAAAACAAAACCCAGAAAACAGCTGCAGACGGAGAACTTGCGTATTCATAACAGGAAGTAGTTTCACCACGAGAAAGAAAAACATGCAGAGAAATTACTTTTTCAGCACATCTCAGCAAAATGTTTTGGAAAATTGCAGGAAAATAAGATTTGATAGATGCTACATATTGTAAAGAGAAATGTTAGATAGCAAAATAAAAAGTATATGTTCTTTAGTGCAACTTTAGCGCTGGAAAGTGTTTAAACTCAACCAACAATCAGTTAGTAACAGAAAATAAAAACATGGCGTGTCTATTTCGTCTGCTTATCGTCACATTAATTCATTTTCTGAAGGCAATTGAGCACAAAAGTCACATACAGTATAGATTATTGGTACATTTGAAGTCAAATGATGACATGCTACCATCTGCTGTTCATCATTCTCATGAAAATAACAGATTTTCAGATGAGAATATCATCGCAGGTTTTCAATCAGCAGGAGACAGACAGGGAACATCCACCAAATGCTGGTATTGTTCAGAATCCATAACACGTTCTGTAAATCCACAGTTTTCATCCTGAAATGGTAAAATATACATTCAAACGTCTAATTCAAGTCCTTTCACTTGTGTCATTCTGAAGACAAGGTTAACATCCAAGCGTGTTTTTTAGTAGTCGCTTGTTTTGCAATTACTTCCTGTTTCATCAGCATTGATCATGTAAACCCTTCATGTCTGTTCTGTGGCAAACAACCAGCCGTCTTACTTCTTGGACCCTTTAGATTCTTTCTGCTTGTCCTTTTCCATATCCTGCCTTTTCTTTTCCCTCTTTTTCTCTGCTTTGGCCTCCTTATACTTCCAAACGGGAGGCTCCAGGTAGCCCTTTTGCCTTTTCTTCTTTTTCTCCTTCTTTGGTGTGGGCTCCCTAGATTTTGTCACTTCAATCTTAGGAATGCAGCCGGAAGGAAAGATGCTGTTCCTGTGAGCCATGCTGCGGGGGATGAAGCTTCTCGCTCCTCCTGACAGTATGCTCTCCCTGCGCTCCGAGTCCTTGCAGCAGGAGGTCAGAGAGACAGAGGTGGCTGATAATGCAGTGGGAGAAGCTGAGGTGACGGAGCCGTTGCTGTGGGACACGCTGCTCTCCTCCAGCTCCCTGGTGCTGTGCTTCTCAAGCAGTTCTGGGATGGCAAACCGGCGTTTGCCCATCTCCGGAGGACTTGTGGGACAAAGTGGGCGGGATCCAGTAGCTACCAGAGGGCTGTGGATGCTTGTGGTTATCCGAACCATATGGTCCATAACTCCATTGTCTTGGGGGTCCTGTGGGAATCTGAAAGTGAGGCTTTCTTTTAAGCGCTGCCTCAGCTTCTGACCGGATGTTCTTGGAGCGGTGGCCTTCTCCACCAGCTGCTTCAGTTCAGGCCACTCAGGTTTGTAGCTTTCACAGAACTGCTTGGCAACAGGATGAGCCTGCAGGCGCCGGATTCTGGTCAGAGTTTCAAACCTTCCAGTCCTAAGGACCCAGTCCTTGAGACCCCTGCCTTGGACAAGGTCTACTGCATGCATGTCTGCACCTGCACATTAAAAAAGACGAGAAAAAGTAGTTAAAGTACAGGATGCTTTCAAATCTGATCAGCTTGGTGTAACACCACCACCATGTGGCTGGCTTTGGGGAACAAGAAACTGACGTTTGGCTCAAATCTTTCATTTGATTTGTTGCCATTAGCCATTTTCATGTAACATTAATAGTGAAATAGTTAGAATGTGGATATAAATTGTACCATTCTAAATGTGTCCATCTAATCCCTGCAGGCCTGAGAAGGTTCAGATTAGTTCACAGATCAGGTGTCCTGGCTTACCCTGCATGTCACGTTGACTCAACGGGTTTTTGTTTACGCATCCTTTATAGTGAAATGCACCTTTTCATTTTCATCTCATCAGTAAATAAACTCTGTGCAGAATTATCTCATCAAGTCTGGGTTAAGGTCATAAGGTCGGATATCTAAACTCACCGTGCATCAACAGGGCCGACACACACTCATCTCGGCCCTGCAGGCCTGCCTTGATCAGGGCTGTGAAGCCACGAGGGTCCCGGACCTCCGTGTCCACACCACGATAGTAGTTAAGAAGATAGTTAAGAATCGAAATAAAGCCTGAATTGGAAAAAAATGTTAATAATCTCAAGCTAATTTGATTTTAGGTGGTGCATGCATTTCCTGACCCACCAGCCTGTGCAGCGATCATGAGGGCGGTGTTTCCATCGTTGTCTTGGTGATTTATGTCAATTAGTGGACATCGGTGAAGGAGGTTGACGATGTCCACAAAGCCTTTGGTCACAGCCACCATCAGCCCATTCTAAATCGACACAAGTCAGATATACATTACACTCCAGAAATGCACAACCATAATTCAATTATTCTCACCTTGCCATTGATGTCCAGCTCCATGGCCTCCTCTTTCGTGACGCCTCTCTCCATAATGCTGCTGAGAGCTGTGGGGTCATTCCTCACACAGGCCTCATACAGGGTTTTAGCTGGCTCTGTACACCTCCAGTCACTTTCATATGCAGGAAAAACCGAGTCATCAGAAAATATACTGTCAGAGTCGGAATCGTCCAAGAGGTTGTCTGAGTCCTCCGATGGGCCAGCACCCAGGTGGGGGTCTTCACCTGCAGTTGCCATCAGAACCCCTTCAGTCAGGGATCAAAAATACCAAACTGCTGCACAGTGCCCACATCTTGAAGAGAAAAAAAACACATCATGTCTTACTCTTATTTTACCTTCAAGCATGTTGCATTCAATTAGATGTGTGCAACGTTATGATGTAACTACAGTAAAGGTGTTAAAAGCAAATAATAAAGCTCCATTTCAAATTAAAATAAAAAATAAAAAAATCAAGAAGCTTAAGAGGTTTAACTGTGGCAGAAAAATCTTTTTCTTTTTCTTCTGATAAAATTTACAAACATAATCTTTCATTTCATTTTCATTTGAACCCTAACCCTGTAAAAACACACCGTAGTGTTGCTATGAAGGATGCATACTTGTGCACATTTCTCAGGAGAGCATTTTAACCCTCTGGAGGCAGGCGTTGCAGATTTGCAACGTTAAAACCTACCTACCTGGTGACTCCACATATGTATTTCATGAGCATTTTTTAACTCAGAAGTACCCCTGAAGGACTTAGTTGTTCGTCCTTTTATCAAAACTTATTTTGAGCCTGAGAGGGTTAAGACTCACACTTGCTGTGTTAAATAGATCTGTTGACCTGAAGATACTGCATGATGGCTAAAGAGGATGATGAGCTTTACCTCACCTTAGCCCATCCCATCAGAGTGGTTGATCTCAAGTCTCTGATTTACACAATGAACACAGGCAACATTCAAAACACACCTGCTTGTTTTCAGCCGTTTGCAGAACACAGACAGAAAATATACCAAAACATAAGTGTCAGAAGGAAGGATGCAGAATGTTGTGGACCTGAGGAAAGTCAGTGGGCTGAAATAATTTGAATAAAGATGGAAGGATGGAAGGATGGAAATGGGATTTAGAAAGGCCACATTGAGCTGGAAGCAACGGGTGGCCAGTTTACAAGCAGCATCAGTGAAGCAGGGTTGTGTTGGAGATTTGTAAGATGTAAAGGAAAAATCAGCATCAAAAATGAATATGGGGTATTGCTGCAAACAACAACTTTTATGCATTTTGCAAAACTTATTTCCATTGAATCAACATTGCAGCTGAAGAAAATAACACTAAAATGGATTTTGATCAGTTTCACACAAAGTTTCTATTAAAATAGAACTATTTGATGCACCTTTTTGCTTTTCTTTCATATCTGTGTTATCGGTGAGGAGTAAAATCATGAAAATGTTTCCAGTCTCCTTCTGCCACCATGACACTTCCTGCTGAGCAACACCTTGCAATCTGGCCTCTTCCTCTGAATCCTAAACACGAGCTGCTTCTGTGGCATTTTAAATGTCAGGATGAAATATAAGAACCCAAAGTGATGAAACACAACCTGATCTTTATGAAAAACAGAGAAAGTCAAGGTCTCACCCTATAAAATCCAGTTGGATTGGATGTTTTTCTTCTTGTTTTTTCTTGGGTGTCAAACCATCTTCTCATGTCGTCCTCTTCTCTTCCTGCACAGTGTGTTTCAGGTTAAGTTCCCCCAAACTGATTCCAGCTCTATATCCATCCCCCCTCCCTTCATTTTTCTTACTGGCCACTTAGAGGTTGCCTCATCAGCCAGGTCCCAACATAGATTCTGTTGTCCTAAGTAAGGCAGCATGCTCTCACCCTCTCATCCTGATTACTGAAGATTTAAGGATTAAGAGAGACGAACAGGCAGCAGCCAACCTTGCTCCCCTGCTCTCAGCTTGTTGGGTTTTCTGCTCTCATTCACTCGTCTCCTTGGCTCTCTCAGAATCTGCCCATCTGTCATGTGAGAGAAAACCTCTCGACGTCCAGAAAAAAACTAAAAAAGAGAGAAAAGTGTTGTGACTGAATCATTAAGGCTATGGCTTCCAAAACTGTATTGCTGCTGAAGACCCCCTGCCTGAATAATTCCAGAGCTTCTTTGTGAAAAGGAGACAGAGTCAGGGGCCCATGGAAATCCACCGGCTGGGACAACAAACTCACCCTGTTGTTGCTCTTCTAGCCAGAGGGCTACAGTGATAATTGCTCCCATAGCAGGTTTGACTCACACACACACATAGACACACACAGACATGGAAAAGCAGGGACATAAACATTCGAGTCAGTGAAAACAGATGCAGCAGAAAAGAACAAGTGATTTGCAGAAATCAAATCAAGGCAAGTTTTCCAATCGGGTCAGCTTTATAATTCTGAACTGCAGGTTTAGTACAAATGAAGCTACTTCTTTGAGTTGTAATTTATTATAACTTTGCTGTTTTTAAATGTAGGGGAATAAATTATATGAAAATCAGTCGTAACCCTTAGGGTTAAATAGCCTATGTTCTATTTGCGTACAGGAAAATCATGTTAACTCGTTTATTCTTAGCAGCACTGACTTAGTTCCTTTGTGGCAAATGGTCACATAAAAAGATTAACCCTCATTTTGAACTGGAATGAGGTTGAAAGTAGACTGCTTGTGCTTTTAACAGTTATGCAACTGCTGGGCTCTGTTAGGGTGGCGCTGACTGCCTCCTGCTGATCAAACTGGGAAATGCTGCACTTGAACATGAGGTGTTGTGATGCAAAACGCTCACATAGCTCACAAACAACAGAATATAATAGTAAATAGTCAAATCTGAATGTGTAGCATAACAGCTAAATATGAAAGAATCAAATCTAAATGCTAAGCTTACGTCTTATTGCTGGAATCCGAATGTAAGTGTGACCGTTTTAAACAAAAATTTGTTTTAATAATTTTGTAATCTAATCAGATACCCGAGCCACCTCAACTGGCTACTCCCGATGTGGAGGAGCAGCGGGTCTACTCCGAGCCCCTCCTAGATGGCCGAGCTTCCCATCCTGTCTCTAAGGGAGAGCCCAGAAATCCTGTGGAGAAAACTCATATCAGCCGTTTGTATCCGTGATCTTGTTCTTTCGGTCACTACCCAAAGCTTGTGGCCATAGGTGAGGGTAGGAACATAGATCAACCGGTAAATCGAGAGCTTCACTTTCTGTCTCAGCTCTCTCTTCACCACGACAGACCGGTACAACGCCTGCATCACTGCAGATGCAGCACCAAGCCATCTATCGGTCTCCCGCTCCATCCTTTCCTCACTTGTGAACAAGACACTGAGATACTTAAACTCCTCCACTTGAGGCAGGACCTCATCCCTGACCTGGAGAAGGCTTTCTACCATCTCCCGACTCAAGACCACGGTCTCGGATTTAGAGGAGTTGATTCTCATCCCAGTTGCTTCACACTTGGCTGTGAACCGCTCCAGCGTTCTGATGAAGCCAACATCTGCAAAAAGCAAAGACCTGATCCTCTGGCCACCAAAATTACTTCTCATTACCTTACAATTGGTGCCTCATAATTTCCTTAGCTATAATAGTAAATACAAACACATTTAAAGACTCTCTGATCCTTTAAGATGTTTAAAAGTTCAGAAAAACATTAGTGGCTTCATTTTTTTGAATCCCATAGAAAGCTGTGGGTAATTTCTGAACAAAGTCTGAGTGAGAGCAGATCCATGGCACGGCTCTAACCCGACCCATCAATCACGGGGGGATGATCTATGTTTAGACACAAGAGCTTAGCGAAATACAGGAAGAGTGGAAGAGGCACGTCTGAGGGGCAAAGATTGTAACTCGTGGGACCAAAACAAAAATGGAGCTGACAGGAAGTAACACAAAGGAAGAGGAAGTCCGTGTGGCACAGGAGGGTGGAGTGGTGATTGATTGTTTTGGATGTTTTTACTCTTTAGCACAATAATGCCCAATCAGGTGAGGCCAGCAGCCTTTCTGTTTCTGCACCGCTCAGAAGAAAACCACTAAGATCTGATGGATGATTATGAGTGTGAGAACATTTTGTTCTGTTTCCCACCTTGTGATAGCAGTCAGAATTTCCTTTTAGGGTCTGAGTTATTTTTCTCTTTTTACTTTAAATTCCTCACAGGGATGTTCACTCATCGCTGCAAAAGGTTGTCCAGCTTCTCCCCAGACACCCTAGTACCCAGCAGAAGTCAGCTGTGGAGCTAAAGAACTTGGAAAGAGGCTCAGGACCAAGCGAGCTAAGTTTAGCCGGCTTAGTGACTGATTGTAAAGACAGACATGTGCTCTGCTAATATTAGACTGTTGGCACTCTCTCCGGGGCCGGCCTTAGCAGCACATTGCTCCGACTCTGTGAGCTATATCATTTTCATCTCCGTGGTTGAAGGCAGATTCCTTCATGCTACCTGTCTGAAAGCATCCAAAGGCCTGCAGAAATCAGGTGAATGACAGGAAGCAGGAAGGAAACAGAGATTAATGTGTTAAAGCTAGAGATTTGGGCTGATGTGTTGAAGGGCGTGACATTAGGAAGTGGAAATTTCTTTTGTTTGTGTTTTCAATCAGGGTGACTGAAAAAGATCTGAATAAATGAAAAAGTTAAACAGACCTTGAACTCCTGAAACAATAAAAAGCAGCTTTATTTTTTTGGTACAGACATCTGGAGGCTTAAAGCCCCAAAACGGTTCGATGTGCAAACCAGGGAGTGAAGCAGATTCCATCCTTTTATAAAGACAATCGACCGATAGGTGTGCTCCACCTGTAACCCTCCATCACCCTGAAACATCACAAGAGCAGTGACCTACTAGTCTCTGACCACTGTTTCAGGCCCAAGAACAAAGTAATAACAGCCTGAATGTAACAGAAACTGGTTTATTTGACTATTTGACAAACTCTATGAATTAAGGCATTAAAGTGCCTCAAACACTAATTCCAGGGATGATGTGAAAATGTAGGCCAATATTGATATCCGATATTAATATTGCTGTTATATCTGATAACCTATAATTACGCCATTAAATTAATTTAAATAGGGATATAAGAAAAAAACGATGTGTTCAGATATTGGACCGATATATAAAAGTCCAATGTCCAAACATTTGCTTTGTTTTGTTTTGTGGTGCGATTCAAAGTGTGACTGCTTGGTGGCAGCAGTTTTTACCACCTTCATTCTGACAAAACAACCAGATCTGTGATACAGTCGCTCTGGATGTCTTTTAAAAGCGTTTGACCCGAGTTTTCCAATTAGGTTCAGTCTGAAACATTACCAATATTGTCAGACATTTAGTATTGCATTATATCATATCCTCTCAGATATATATTATATCACCAGATTCCAGAGGTGTGGACTCGAGTCACATGACTTGAACTGGAGTCAGGCTCGAGTCATTATTTTAATGACCTCTGACTTGAACTGATAAAATTTAGAAAGACTTACAACTTGACTCGGAATTGAACGTCAATGACTTGCGACTTGAATCGACTTGCATCTGTTGACTTGATGATGACTTGAGCATATTTGATATTTTAGCACAAAAGTGGAACGACATGGACAAAAATCATCAATCATTCTTGGTTCTTGTACTGCTAAATGCAGCAGCACTTTGTTTATAATCAGTTTCAGTTTCTGAAACTGGGGGTGGGGGGTGATACAGAAATGGAAACAAGATGGAAAAAAAAGGTTGTTAAACTTGGCCCAGTTTTACTTATTGGACTGATACAGATATGTTAAAAAAGGGCTAACATCGGCCGATACCGACATGCCTTATTGATTCTAATTACAGCAGAAAAATTTCAAGTTGGTAAAATACAGAAGGGATCTGATTTTTTCAAGCGTTTGTGGTAATTTAAATATTTTCCCTAAAACTCATTAGAAATTGCAGTGTCTGCTGACTACTTGCTCTTTTATTAAAAACATGCTTCTATGAAAAACTCAGATTGCTGCCTGAACTATTAATAGTGTGCTCACTTAGCGCCTAAATACCATAGTTAGAATATGAATACTTATTGATATTTCAAATATTCCAAACAGAATTCACAAATAGCATTAGCAACTCTTGGATGTAACAATGAGCAAGGCAGCTAACGATTTAACCTGTGACATTTGTGCTGTTGCTCATGTTTTTATGTTTGGTTGGACCTAAACAAATTATGCTATTGTTTTTTAATTTGTTTTTGGAGGGATTTGACCAATTCTTCAGAAAAAAATAATCAAAGGTAAATTAAAACATCAAGAAAATGACAGAGAATCAAAAGATCGCAGAAAAATAAAACTTTTTTTTAACCTTCTAGGCTCTCACACAGAAAACACAGTCACCTTTGGCCCAGAGTCCAACATGACCAAAACAGGACAAAGAGAGCATCTCAGTCTGCATACAGCTCAGCAATGCTTAAAAACTCAACCACATTGCTCAAAAAGTAAAAAAAAAAAAAAAAAAGAAGATAATCCTAAAATGTGCTAATCTATTGCACAGATTCACAAAACCATCCAACTAAAGAAAATCCTCAGAGATTACAGCTAAATAAAAGACAAGAACTCTCATGCATGGGCTTCTATAAAAGCCTTATATGAAGCAAACACAAAATAATCATTTTTAAGAGGACAAAAAGAACAGATTTCTGTCTGGGGAAATCGCCCTCAGATGTACGACACATGGGGAAAAGTCTGGGATGTTTTGGATTAGTACTTTAAAAGAATTGGACCAACGAAAGTTTCAAACATGTCTGGATTTAGTTGAATAAAATCAACATTCAGTTTCAAATACCACTTTGATTCTGTCCAGCTGCTTCATGCAGTCACATGAAGCTCCACCACCTTTCACCCCAAATTTTTGTCTTTAAGTTTCACACTGAATCAAATACATAAAATATACTTTACTTGTACTTGCACTACCAACACTTTATAATGGGGATGGTGTGCTGCTGACTTCTACTTGGAATGTTGTGGATTGGTAGTGACCTCCTCAATTCCACCGGTGCGTCTTCCAGTAGGAAGCAGAGTCTGGTGACTTTGGGTTGGGCTTTCCAATCTCTAGTGCCTGAGATGGTCAAAAAGTTCCTCGGTGGCAAGGCTCCGATGGTGGATGAGATCCGCCCAGAGTTCCTTAACCTCTACTGCACACTGGAAGTGTCAGCGGTGCGGACCGGCAGCGGAACGTCACTCATTCAAACAGAATCTATTATGGTCTACGGAGAGTCAAAAACCAGACGCAACGTGACAATTTTCAGATGCGTCCCAGAAGTGGCATATTGCTAGCCTAGTGAACTAGACCAAATTCTTGCTTTGCAAACAATGGTCTAGGCATGCTCCATTGGAACCTCAGCAGGTCCTACCAGGACTCTGGCTAGCCAATCACAGCTCTCTAGAGGGGTTTCAAACACATAAAGAGCTGTGATTGGTCCATAATGGTGGGCCAATCATAGTGCTCTATCTGCTTAGTGAACAAATCACAGAGCTTTATCCGCTTTGTGGGCCAATCAGGGCACTCTACATGCCTGGTGGGTGGGATGATGCAACAGAGTGAAACAAGAGTATGTCACATTCTTTGTCTTGTGGAATGCGGAGATCATTTGAAAGACAACGGTAGAACCCGCCCCACAACCGAGAGCCGTCAATGGAGCATGGCCAGACTAAATAATACATTTATTTAGTCAGGCTTGCCAGGCTAGCACAGTGCGCCATGCTGCTAATAGAGCCGCTTCTGGGATGCGTCAATGTACACAGTTAACATAGGGCTAGACAGGCAGTCACACATGGTTTCAGTGTAAAATCCCCAATACTTTTCAAAATAAAAGTACAGTAGCGATGCAGTTTCATATGTACGAAGCTTACATGTGACCCAATGACTTATTTACTCCCTTGCATCATTCCAGAAGTGCAGTGGTGTGTTTTTCATGGCTTTAATCCTGGTGGTGGAGAGGAACAACATAATGGAGAAGGTGTTCGTCCACATCCCTTGGAAGGTTGGTCTGCATTGCCGGCAGTAAATAGGGCTCTGCTTTTTGCAGACGATGTGGTCCTGTTGGCTTTATTACGTCCCCGGCTCTCTAGGAGAGATGAGGAGGGGAGTAATCAAAGTAGTATGTGGGTGAAATAATAATCAACGTGCTGTCACTTAAAAAACAAAGAATTTTATTACAAAACACGGGATATTTACAAAGAACCTAAAAACAATACTATATACAAAACTGAAGGAGCAATATTCAAAAAGGAGATAACGTAAAGCACCAACCCAGAAGGGGATGGGGATAAACAACCGAGAAAATCTAATTTTATACAAAAAGGGGAGATCCTAAATTCCAAGTCAAAATGCCAGTCCGAAGTTAAATAGCCAAACGGTCTAATTCTAAATCCAACTTTCAAAACAAGTCCAAATACCAAAGTCTACCAAGAAAACAAGCTGTACCAACAGCGAACGAGGAGAAGCGAATAATACAAACTCTGCCGAGTCTATACTACCCTTGGACCTTCTCCAAGACTGAGGGAGGAGAGCAGCTTTTAACAGCTGCTCCCTGATTACTAGCATTACAGACACCTGGTACACGGGAGACAGGCGAGGCAAAGGCCACTGAGGCCATCTTGTGGCTGAAAAGGGACACGGCACGTAACAGCTTCATCAGACCGTGATATTTGGCTCTCACTGGAGCATATTTGACAACAAACAATGAAGTCAAAGGATATTTCCTTCTTTTTGGTTTCATGGCGAATTACAAAACCAAACCGTGACCTTTGAAGTCTCGAGGGATCTTGTGATCGAGTGAGTCAAACGAGGAGCACGGCAGAGAAGCTGCTTCACTGCTGAGACTCTCCCAGTGTGCATTGGAGTGCTGCAATTGTTGCAAGTAAACCGTTCTGCTGCTGTTCCACACCACTGATGCTTCCAGTGTGCAGCCGGGGCCAGGTTTTGGATGTTGTAGGGTTGTGTCTACTGATGCGGCTCAGCAATATTGCGTGGACATCAGTGGCAATTCTACTGGACTGGCAGACTGGGGTGGTGGGCCCCCTATTTATAAAGGGGGTCTGCAGAGTGTGTTCCAACTACAGGGGGATCACACTCCTAAGCCTCCCTGGTAAAGTCTATCAAGGGGTTCTGGAGAGGAGGGTCCATCAGATAGTCAAACCTCAAATTTTGGAGGAAAATTGTGGTTCTCATCCTGGCCGTGGAACATTGGACCAGCTCTATATCCTTAGGGGGGTCCTGGAGGGAGCGTGTGAGTTCGCCCAACCAATCTACATGTGATTTGTGGATTTTGAGAAGGTGTTCGATCACATCCCTAGGGGAGTTCTGTGGGGTGTACTCCAAGAGTATGGGGTACCAGGCCCCTTGACACAAGCTGCTAGGTCCCTGTATGATCGGTGTTAGAGTTTGGTCTGCATCGCCGGCAGTAAGTCGGGCTTGTTTCCGGTGAGAGTTGGAGTACGTCAAAGCTGCCTTTCATCACTGATTCTGTTCATAACTTTTATGGACAGAATTTCTAGGCACGGCCAAGGTGGTGAGGGGATCCGTTTTGGTGGCCTGAGGATCGGGTCTCTGCTTTTTGCAGATGATGTGGTCCTGTTGGCTTCATCAGACTGTGATATTTGGCTCTCACTGGAGCGATTTGCAGCCGAGTGTTAAGCAGCTGGGATGAGAATCAGCTTCTCTAAATCTGAGACCATGGTCTTGAGTTGGAAAAGGGTAGAATGCCTTCTCCAGGTCAGGTATGAGGAGTTTATTCACGAGGAAGGGAAAGACGGAGCATGAGATTGACAGACAGATTGGTGCTGCGTCTGCAGTGATGCAGGCATTGTACCGATCTGTCGTGGTGAAGAGAGAGCTGAGCCGCAAGGCGAAGCTCTTGATTTACCAGTTGATCTTCGTTCCAACCCTCACCTAAGGTCATGAGCTTTGGGTAGTGGCCAAAAGAATGAGATCACGGATGCAAGCGACCAAAATGAGTTTCTCTGAAGGGTAGCTGGGCTCTCCCTTAGAAATAAGGTGAGAAGTTTGGTCATTTGGGAGGGGCTCGGAGTAGATCTGCTGCTCCTCCACATCAGGAGCCATTCGAGGTGGCTTGGGCATCTAGTTAAAATGTCTCCAGGACACCTCCCTGGTGAGGTTTTCTGGTCACATTCAACCGGGAGAAGACCTAAAGGAAGACCCAGGACACGCTGGAGGGACTATGTCTATCGACTGGCCAGGGAATGCCTTAGGATTCCCCTGGGTTGGCCCAAGTGGTCACTGGGATTTTCATGTAGGCTGAACATGAAAACAGTCTCCTACACCTATCTCCTGCGTTAACTTCTGATAGAACATAGACTGTGAAATTCTAGGATTTGAAAATCCTCACAGATCTATGTCACACTGTCACTTAACATTCATGGACTCACTTATCTTGACTCACAATGGGGAAGGCTGTTGTTAGGTTAGCATCCAGGAAACAGCTGACAACGCCCCAACTAGTAGAAGCTAACCATTAGCATTAGCAACTCCACCCCACAGCAGAACCCCTTCAGGCTTATGTTTTTTTGGGAGATAAAACATCAATATTGCAAAGCAAACTGAGTCAGTGATAGAGTCTTGTTGCTGTTAGCAAATCAGAGGTGAGATGTCCACACATCAGGAAATAAGACTCCAAATCCTTCCGTCTGAAGCTCGGCTCTAATGTGCGTCACTTATAGTTCCTGAAGAAGGTGCCGAGTACGACTTACAAGACATTCATTCCTACTATAGACCATTACAAATGTATTGATTAAATAAGTGATCCACAACTTTAAAGTCATGGTTGGATCACAGTCTCTTTCTGCAGTACAAATGCTGCAAACCTTCCAATTCTCTTGAGTGGTCGGATTTCTCTTGTGATCGTTCAGCATTTTGTTGTGAGTGGAATTGGTGACTTTCTCCCAAACAGTTAAGCTTTGTGCACTCTGTGTTCATACCTTATTTGGGGCTGCCCTTCCTGCTCAAGAGTTCACACACTCCATGTGTCAGTGCCCGGGACTCGGGCACAGATGAGAGTCTGGAGAGTGTAGGGTGACATAGTTCAGGAAATAAAAGGAAAAACAGGATGGAAAGATAAAGGACTGATTGAGTCAGTGTGAGTTTGGAAAGGAGGATCAGTTTGTAAAGGGAAGAGAAAAGACAGTAAGAGAGGGAATGATGAATGGTGGTGAAGTTTATTCTTTGTTAACCAATGAAGAATGAGATAGAGGGATTTCAGGGAGGGTGATGTTCTGAGTCACTACTCTTGTTTTCTACAGTTGGAGAAGACAGCAGAAGACCAGCTTCAAAGGAAAAAAATCCTTAAGATGTGGGATGATGAAGAAGAAGAGGAGATGAGAATCTGAAATGAACTCCTGAAACACTTTACCAGCAGCACAAAGGCAACATTCTCCAGACAGCCAAGAAGACGCTCACCTGTCTGGACTGGGAGAAGAACAAGGCAGACTCAAGCCCTCCTCTTCCTGGATCCGTGTTTTCCTATGCATTAAGTTTCAGAGCAGAACGAGGTGAGCTCAGATCGACGCTGCAGTCAGCTGCAAATCTGAGTTTCCTTTCAGAGAGGATGAAGGCTGTGCAGAAGAACCAGGGACACACCGACCAGATGTTGGGAGCCATGGCTGACGTTCTCACTTCCGTGGCAATGCCCAATCAACAGTGGGTAAGCGTTGTGGATCTGTTTGTTTGTTTTCTGTCTGTTTACAGGAAATAATCATTTTACAAACTCCAAAAGGGAGGCTACACATATGGAAGTGTTTTTCTGAGCTTTGCAGAGAAAGGCATGCTTTATCTCCGGCCCCAACACATTCTAACTAACAGCATGTCAAAAACAAACGCTTGGTCAGCCACCCTCCCCGTCAGACCCCTGACGCCAAAAGTGCCCTTTTTCGTCACTTATGTGCGAAAAGGGGTCTTTCCCTTTTCTGATTGCAGATCCCAATGCAGCGTAAAACTGACGCGATGGGATGTCCGCAGCCAGGGCACCAAACAAGCTCATTGTACCTCACCCTGACCGTATCCTCTTGTTATTTAACCTTCCCCTCTCCCTTATGCTAACCTTAACCATCTTGCTAGCTAACATGTTAGTGATGTGTCGGTCGCTCTAAAAGCCGGCTCTATGAAGTGAACGGAGGGAGCCGCCTTGTCATCGGTCGGGTTTGGACCGAGGCAACGCGAGGGGGAGGTTTCAACTACCACGGTGGAGGTTAAAAGTAGAGGATATTTGTAACCTCCCCCTCGCCAGATTGTATGTTCTAACGTTCCCCTTGGGCGGCAAATACAAAAATTCACAGTCAGAATGCATGGGAAACAAACGCTTGATCACAGTGAGACCCCCAAATTCCACTACCTCCGCTCCGCTGCGCTCCGCTCCGACATGAACGCCGGAGCAAAATCGGTCCTGTTGTAGTCAATCAGAGCAATTCCACTACTGCGGCCCTGCTCCGGCAGTGCGGCGCCGTGCGTCGCCCTCTATTCCGGCGTCCGGCAAAAATAGAATCGATCCTATTTTTGCCGGACGCCGGAGCACCTCCGCAGTAAATGGACAGAAATCACAAACGCCCAACAGGAAAAGGAGCAAGCACAACTTCCGTTTTTCACAATAAATCGATAAACAAAAGGCGTTTTTTGTTTCATATACACAGGTTTAACAACTTTTAACAACTATCAATGGCGGCTGAAGTTTAAATGCACAAAAGTAAGCCATAAATACAGTTTCCACTATCAAAGTAGTCACACTTTGTTGATCCAAACACTGCTGATCTGTCAACACAAATGATGGGCAGATTAAACAGTTCATTTCGATGCTTCTCCCACACAACGGGTGTTTGGATCTAACTACCACGTTTACTGCTCGGACTGTATCGCAAGATCTCGAAAATCCCGCGCATGCTTGTTTGCCCACCTCAGGTCTCCGCACCGGAGCGGAGCCGTTGTAGAGCGGGTAGCAGTAAAAATTGAGTTCGGAAGCGAGCGGCTGCGGAAGGCGGGGGCGGACCGGAGCGGAGCAGAGTGGAGGTAGTGGAATTTGGGGGTAACGTTTTAGGTAGCAAGAGGGTTAAGGTTAGGATGAGGGTAAGGGGAAGGTTATAAATAGTAAAACGTTAAGGTTTAGGTGCGGTTAAATGAGCTGGTTCGGTGCCGCATCAGCGGACATCTCGTTGCGTCAGTTTTACGCTGCATTGGGATCTGCAGTCAGAAAAGGGAAAAACCTCTTTTCGCACATAAGAGACGAAAAAGGGCACTTTTGGCGTCAAGGGTCTGACGCGGAGGATGGCTGACCAAGCGTTTGTTTTTGACGCGCTGGGAGTGAGAACACTGACCCACGTCCTTTTGTACCAAGCCCCCACAATGCGGGACAGAAATTGAGGCCAATGTGGAAGTGAAATAAATTGCAGTTCCACCCTCATCCTCTGGGGGGTAATGTCAGAAGCGAGCAAATCCTCATTGACTCCCATGTTAAAAAAATCAATTTCACAGCAGAAATAAACTTGTTTACAGCCTGGTTCCAAAACATGTTTTTGGTTTAAATGATCTAGTTTACACTTATGACAACTCTGAGGGGGTGAATTTTTTTCTCACTCTTCTGTTTAAGTGTATTAAAAGCCTAAAATTCTGTATAATTAATGAGCATCAGACCCACGTGACCGCAGAGCTAGCTCCGGGGAAAGGCCCCAGCCTGAGCCTCGGTCTCGCCTGAAAACTGTTCCGCCATTTTCAGTCTCTCAACTTAGACCATTAGTTGTGCCGTTTGTGCATTCTTTTTTGGATATTATTTGTGCAATTGTTGGACAAAATGACTTGCTGTGGTATTAATTGCACTACTAGAGTGTCCAAGGAGTCTCCACTTCATTTTTTTCTGTAAGTAAAATTATATTTATGTATTTTAGGCCACTGCCGAGCTGAGCTTAGATTTTAACATGTACTGTTTAACCATGAAATGTAAATGTAATAGGGTAAAACCCATTGCATTTAACATAATGCTGCACTTTAGAAAATGGGTTGAAATATAACATGTTGGTGGAGCTGGGTTCCGACTATCGGCTTGTGGAGCTCTCTGGAAATCTTTGTTTTCCACCCGGTTCTCCCCTCCCCGCAGCTCGGCGCATCTCTGTCTGATCGCGGCTCCTGTCTGCTGCGCAGGCTGCCAGCTTGTGGAGCTCTCGGATGGGAACCAGTGTTTTCCACCCGGTTCTCCCCAGCGGCAGCTCTGCGCATCTCACATCGCAGCGGCGGTTGTCTGCTGTGCGGCTACCGGCTTGTGGAGGTCTCGGAAACCTCTGTGTTCCACCCGGTTTTACCCAGCGGTCAGCCCGGCGTATCTCTGACTCAGAAGCTCTGGTGTTGTGCACAGTTAACTCCGGTTGTAGTTAGGTTGCTACCTCCATTAGCTTAGCTCCCACCTCCACATTAGCATTGGGTTAGCTTCAAGTTAGCTTGTAGCTAGTTCGACCGGGTGTCGTCAGTTGATCCCAGCCTTACAGCCCCACCCTCAGCTCCTCCTCTCTTCCCTTTTGTGGAATTGTCTGGGCTTGACGGAACCTGTGACACGGTCAAAATGGCGGTGGTGGCCACCTCCCATTTCTCCTCAAAAACGTGTTATTGGAGCCTATGGAAACCCATTGTCCATGTATTTCTATGTCGATGTTTTGTACCAAGCTTATTTTGTTTCCCTGCCATAACTTGAACATACACCTAAAATGGTCAGGACAGACAGGCAGGGAGCAGGATGGATGAGTTTCCAGTCCCTGTTCAGTGCTTGGGAGGAATTTTTAGATGTTTCTGAGAAAGGGGAAGTTGAGTGATGGCGATTAAAACGTCCAACCATCAACAGAGTCATGCAGTTTTAATGCCTCACTCTAACTCTATTACTCATCCTTTATGTATCTCTTATACTCCTATATTTAAACTTTTCAAAGCACTATCTTTTTCCTAATTCCTCAGCTAATCCTATTCCAATATGCAGATTATATGCAGTGAATTTTACTGATTTAGACACATTTAGCCAGGAATATCAGATGTCTGAGGGTCCCAAAATGTCCTAAGCACTTCTCTTTAAAGCCATTTTTCACAACGTTTATCCTGATAAATCAGACAGCGGTCAAATCCCCTGAGATTGATGCCTTGGTTTGCCTCTATTAACCTTCCCTTTGGTGCTGCTGGGCTTTAAATATAGACTGCTCTGTGGCAAAAGCAGAGCCTTGTTTCCATCACATTCTTGCTCAGTGTGTAATGGAGAAACAGATGAAAAAGATGTCGGGAATTGTGGAAAAACAAAAATCAGCCGCTGGTATATTGTTTTGCGGCTGTGTGACCATAAGTGCTCTGTACAATCTTGCAATCCCTTCCTCCTTGAGAGTAGGCCTCCTCTGCTTCTGCTGAGAAAAGCATCTGTGTGTGTGTGTGTAGCTTTCAGAGGGAGGCGAGGTGGACCTCCCATCGAGCGAGGAGGAAAAGGGGCCTTCACAGGGCCGGTGGGAGCAAGACGAGCCAGAGTGGGAGCAACAAGCAACACTAAACCAAGAACGACGTGAAAGAACAGGTGAGACCTGAAGGAGCTGATTGTGACAGCTCGCTTTGTGACCCAAGACCTGAAAAAAATAAAAATCCAAACTCTCACACTCACCAAACCAGTAAAGATTGAGCTCTGATTTGTTGCTCTCAGATTTCTGCATCGTCTCACACACTGAAAGTAAAACACACATTATGAATGTGTTCAAACACAAGTCAGGAAAGTAAACAGTCTGGAGCTACTAGTAACCTTCTGCTTTCAGTTCAGCCCATTTCTGCATGTTGGCCACATGTGAATCAGAACAGGCCTGCTCCATGTCTGGATGTGCTCGTTAGGCTTTAACCTTAGGAAAACATCACCTGAGACTCGGTGCTTTACTTTTATTAAACTCCACCCTCTTCCCTCTATTAGCCTTGATGGCAGTTCGATATAATTTACCATACATAAGCATGCGTGAGAGAGAAAAAAGAATTTTTGTGTACACACACACACACACACACACACACACACACACACACACACACACACACACACACACACACACACACACACACACACACACACACACACACACACACACACACACACACACACACACACAACAATTCCTTCCAGATGGGGAAAAAAGCATGCTCAACTGGCTCCCTTCTGCCCAATCAGAGTTGGTCAGACGTCTTCTTGTTCTGCTGAGGCAGGCTTGCGTGTGTTGTGATTTTCCTGGAGTGGAATGAAACAAAAGGAGCTTTGTTGCTGGATCTGGGCTTGGGTTCGATGGAGAGTGTGTGTATTTGGGAGGGTTGGTGGTGTGCACCATGTGGCTGGAACATTAGCTGCTCAGAGCAGTGTATGGTGTACAGGAGGGGCGTGAGTGAGGCCAGAGGAAGCTGTCAGTGATGCTTATCTGTAATGGTGGTACTCAGATGGGTCTGTCATTAGGGTTAATGCACCCATAAAGTTGTTTTTAGTCACTGCTTGAAAGTCAAGAAACACTGGGAATAGTATTATTTGGGGCCACATAAAGCTGGTGATCTTAAAGAAGATTGTTTATTTTAAGTCTGAAATGATCGTTTGCTCAGTTTCCTTGTAGTTTGAGCCAGGGTGGAAAATTATTTTCATTTCATTTAATTTCACTTTATTTATAAAGCCCCTTCCACGGCCTTATCGAACGCCCAAGGTGCTGGACAACACAACAAGCAACAACATGTACAAGTAAAAGAGTATAAAACAAGCATAAAAACATAAAACCTAATAAAAAAGGCCACAATACACATAGGATAATGAAGCCACACTATGACATCTACTGTTGGAAATCCATGGCATAAAAATGCATCTTTAAAGGAGACTTAAAAACCAGTAAAGAAGGTGACTAGCACGCGGTTAAAGGCAAATCATTCCATAGTCTCAAAGCCATCACAGAGAACACACGATCTCCCCATGACTTTACCTTCTCAGTGGTTTAGTGGTAGAGTGTCTGCCCTGGGACTGAGACATCGGGGTTCAAATCCCAGTCGAGTCATACTCTACCCTCTACTTGTTGGATTGAGGGGTTAAACCACCAAATAGTTCCTGAGCGTGACCACAGCTGCAGCTCACTGCTCCCCACTGGGATGGGTCAAATGCAGAGATTAATTTCACAAGTGTGTGATGACTAATGGGACTTTAACTTGTACTTTGAACATGGAACTACCAACAGTTCCCCATCGGTTGAGTGGAGGGCTCTTGATGGAGCATGACTGTTCAAAATTCTCGCCAAGTAAGAAGGAGCAGTTCCCTGAAGAGCCTTATACACCAGAGTTATAGCACCTTGAATTTAGTCCGAAGCGCATGGGGAGCCAGTTCAGAGTTCCCAGCACAGGAGTAATGTGCTCCCTGCGCGTCGTGCCTGTCAAGAACCTAGCAGCTGAGTTTTGGACTAATTGTAGTTGTTCCATTCAGTGCATTACAATAGTCCAATCTGGATAGGACCAAAGCTTGAGTAACAGACACCAGGTGAACTCTCGATAGCAGATACTTAATTCTAGCCAAGTGGCGTTGGTTAAAAAAGCATGACCGCACACCATAGTTAATAGGTGAAGGTGCCTTTCACAATAGCAGCCAAAGGTCCTAGATCAACATCAGGGCTGACATTATCTGCGGTACCCGGAGAGAAAACTACCTCAGTTTTCATCATTCAGACACAAAAAAGTTAGAGGCCATCCAGGATCTAAGCCGGTATCAGGACCTTGTGGGATCTTTGGTGTGTCCAAATTCAGGGGTTGCATGCTCATGAGAACCTGTCCTCATTGGTCTCAGTAGACCAGATGTTAACAGCAGTGAATTTGGACAGACTAGCCTTAAATAATAGTACCACCCCTACTTCTGTGGATGTCCTCCTGTCACCTAGCAACTGCTACCACACTAAAGCCTGAGGCACACAGAAGACAGCAGCCATGGAAGTGCTGCACATTTGGGGTCACACAGAAATGTTAAGTTGTTTAGTGGTCCTCAGACCTTTTGAGTACCCTTGCACTGCTGTGTTTAATATCCATCTGTGTGATATCCCGCAGTGCATCTTGGGATTTATGGAGATGAGAACACTACACTGCACCTGTTCTCAAACTCGGGGAAAAGAAGAACACAATTCAAGATCGCATTCTGAGCACTCTGAATTTGGACAGTCTTCGCAGCGGCACTGTGACGTCACTGGTCTTAAAATCTGACCTAATGAGCATGCAACATCTGAATTTGGACACAGACCCTCTGTTGCCTGATTCCTGTTCCTTCCTGCAGGCTCATAGGAAACTAATGCCAATCACCATTTAGTTTTTTCTTCTATTAAACACCTTGATTTATACCTGCCTCCACCCTGAGTCTATTCTCAACACTTTATGTTTATAAAAATCATAGGATGTTTCCAGCCTTCAGAAGTTAGATCCTGCTACCTCCTCAATCTAAAAATAAAAGTGTAATTACAACAAATTTTCCATTTCAACAAGACTGAACAACTTTTTTCCGTTTCATCTTTCCATAATTATTTTCACACCAATAAAAGAGTTTTACACTTTTCTTGTTTGTTTTTTAGAGTTGTGACGCAACTGAACTAAAAGTGAAACAAAATTAGGATTCAACTTGACTTCTTAGTACCAATACATGAGAAAAAACAAACAAACATCTTATTTCTATGAAGTTCTCAGTAAACAAAGGTTTACATAAGGTTTTATGGCCAGAGTCAACATATCTGCACTTTGAGGTAATTTTGTATCTTAAAGGTGTAGGAAACTTGTTTAATCAAAACGTGTGCAGCGGTCTCTGGTTGGAATGAATACCTTGCAAGATGAACTTGGGCAAAAAAGCCCAGAAGCGCTTGGATCAGCGTGCAAAAGTCTGCTGCAGCAGAGCGTGGCACAACACTGCAGGCCTGATATTTGGACATCTTGCCTCAGATTGGATAACAGCAACGCAACTCTACCACTGATTTACAACGAGGATGTTTTCTTTCCACAAATAACACAAACCTGAAGGAGATTTTCAGTGTGGTGGCGTTGCTAATGCTAACGGTTAGCTTCCACTTGTTGGGACGTTCTCTGTTCTTTCCTGGAGGCTAAAACAACAACAGCCTTCCCCATCGTGAGCCAAGATGAGTGAGTCCATGAATGTTAAGTGACAGTGTGACGTAGATCTGTGAAGATTTTCACATCCTAGAGTTTCACCATCTATTTTCTGTCAGAAGCTAATGCAGGAGAAAGGTGGAGGAGACTATTTTCATGTTCAGCCTGCATGAAAAACTCATAGTGACTGATTAAAATCAGAAATAATCATTAAAAAAATGTTTTTTCTTTTCTTAATGAAAGTAAAAACAAGAGACCAGATGAATTTGCCAGCTGAGTATAAGTTTATGTAAATTATGGGGTGAACGAGAACATTCTGGGCTTTGTCTTAAATCAAAGTTTGGAGGAGAAGATGTCCCACAAATTAGGATGGAATGGTGTTCCCATGTGACCTTAAATGAAGAAAGCTCAACTTGAGACATGTCAGGTCAACACAGAAGAAAGGTATTGCCTCCTAAACAAAACAAAATTAACAATTTATTAAATTTAGCAACACTGAAAACTGCTTCGAAGGTCATGTTGTGAAGTCAGTTTGAATGTAACAAACATGGAGACTGTCTGTGCTGCTGGATGAGATCATCTGACTCTGTTTGTTGAATAAAGTACCTGATTTCCTGATGTCCGTGACCTCTCTGAGTCTTTTTATAGACTTCTTACCGTTTCTTACGGTTGCCTTGGGGGAAAAAAAAAGAGGCAATGAGAACGTATTAAAGAGTGAAAACATGCTGTGCTCCATCAATAACACAGTACAGCTTTATTTTTTTTATGTTTTAGAGCTTTTTAATAATATGTAGCTTATTTACACATCTGGTATTTATGACACCAGTGTACCTTTGGGAACAGTAGTCCCACTCTCCTTGAGCACTTGTTGCTGTTTTAACAACTCAGGGGGAAATCTTTTCATCATCCTTGAAAATGTGCTGTTTGTTCCTAAGAAGGAGAGTATGGCAGGTTACAAAAGCTTTTTTCGTAAAAACAGCTGCCCGCTGATGATAAAAATGATGTTACGTGAGTAAAGAGAGAGAATCACAACAGAAATGACAGTAAACGGACACAGGGGAGCTGCAGAACCGTGCACACAGGTGCACAACTGTAATCAATGTTTCTCACATGCTTTTCAGTGATGCTGTTACATAGAGAAAGCCCTCGTCTTTAACCTTATGATTAATCGATTATCTATTGTGAGCATTTTCGTGTAATTCTTGTGTTCCTGAGAATCAGGTCGGGCTGCGTTGAAGGTGCAGGTCTGCTGAAACCTTCAGAACCCTGACAGGTGACTGCACTTCAGAGCAGGAGGGATCTTCAACCCAAATTGACCTGGAAGAATATTCAATGTCTGATGACGTTTGTGCACCAATAAAAATGTAAAACAATGAATATTCTGCACATTTACACTTACAAGATGATCAAGTCTTTCAAGGTTTCTGCACAAAATCCCTTAAA